TGATCTTAGCTTTCTTAGATAAGTTTCAAAGGATTCAAAAGAAAAACAAAGACCATTCATCAAGTTTTTAATTAGTTCTAGTCATTTCAATCGAAACATGCATAAAATTGAAAAAACTTGTCATAAATTATAAATAAATGACAAAAACAGGTAAGTCAATGCTGAATGTAGGAAATAAATTGTTGTCCAAATTTAGTCTGCCTCTTGGGCAATTGGAGACACCAATGTGGTGGCTTGATTTCATCCGGATGTGCCACACAACATAGAAAGTCACTAAAATATCATCCGGAAGTGCTGTGCCACTTGGCGAAGAGATCCACCAAAAGAGGGGTCGACCATGCTGTCACTATTGTCTAGGGGGAGAAGAGAAAAGTTGACCACTTGTTAGAGGCCTTAAGTGCAGTCGGGGGAGGAAGGAACAAGCTTGCCAATCGCCAGAAATATTGATCGCACAAAAGGAGGGAAGAATGGATTACTGTATTTGTGGTTACCAATAGGATTTTAAAGATAATTGATAATATCGATTATTATCTTTATATACTTGACATTTACACGTGCGAGAAATTAAATTCTGGTACTGTGATGCTTCAGGAGCCACTAGATCAAATGAGCTTAGTCACGTGACATAGTAAGCAATGTAGGATTAACCAGCCGCGAACTGCTGCTGATTAGGAACTTATGTTCTTAGTACCATGGTGACTCCTTAGCTGTCAAATCATCCTTTAAGGCCACATGCGTGCTGAGCGACATCGAATTCGTGAACCACCGATGGACTGCTTTATGCATCTAGTATCGTGGTAGTTTGCCAGCCGTATAATCTGGCTAATCTGATGACATGACTCATTGTGTACTACTAGATCAACACCACACTACAAATGACTACACCAAAACAAACGAAAACATTTAGTCCCACATTGAAAATATTTCGGATGCATGCTTTGAATATAAACTAAAGCTATGGTCTCTCAATAGAGATCCCATCTCTAAAAATAAAATGATGCCCTCACATGTGCACGTGTGTACAGATGCTCCTTGCTCGACAACCAATTAGCCACTAGGATGTGGAATGAGAGTGATTGACGTGATCATTATCCCTTGCTTTTTACTAATCAGATTTTGGAAAAATTAGCTAGCCAAAGTTATTTCTGTTTTCTTGATGATTGACATGATTTAGTCGTTGCATAGTAAATCTCATAAATTAAAATTTATAAAACTAGAAAATACCAATTTTGGATATTTAGAAGTATTACTGAACAAATATATCACTTATAATTCAATAAAAGTTTCAAAAATAGTGAGAAGTTTTCAAGTCGATCATAGGGATTGGAGAGGGCTGATTTTTCTAAAATCTATATTTCTATTTTGGATGAAATTTAAAATTTTAATTGGGTTTAAGTGTTTTTGGATTTTAAATATTATTTAGGTCTCTTCACAAAAAATATTCTCTCAATTAGGATTAAAAGAATTAATTTTTTTCTTATTTTTACTAAAATTGTGGGGTACTTATACTTGCTCTTGCCTAGGCTGAAATGATTGACTATAATATTAAAATTCAAAATGATCATTTTCACAATACACAAGATAGGTACTATATGGATTAAATTGAAGGTTAGGAGGCTTTCTAATATTGTCAATAAGTAAATCAAGTTTTTCTAATCTTTGATTAATCTAATTAACCTCATTTCTTAAATTAGAATCATCATAATATAATTCATAAATTCTTTTCTTCTTATCCCTATTATATAACTCAAAAGAGACTTGGCCATATTTCTCATAAAGATTGTAAATCTCATTAAAGCTTTTCTTCATAAAAGCTCATCCACATATAGAACTAATCATATTTCTATATATTTCTAATAATCTATTGTAAAATATTCTATTGAGCTGTTACTTGGGTATAACATAATGAGGATAGTTTCTAAGTAAATCTTTTGAATTTTTTCTATGTCTCATGCAAAGTTTCTCTTGACCTTTGAGCAAAACTTCATATATATTTTCCATCTGGTGCAGATAGAAATAGAGTGATGTTAGAATGATGTCAACTCTTGACGAACGTGAATTGGGCAAAAATAGAGTTTCGTTCAATGATTCTTACGTAAGTGATTACACACGATTTAATTGATCAAATTAAGATTTATAAAAGTCGAAAGAATCGTAATTGAATGAAAAATAGTTTGGTAAATTTAAATCACACAAATTATCACTAAATGAAGTGAATATTAAGTTGATAGTAGAAAAATAAAGTTCCAATGTCATGATGGTGATGCACCAAAATTTTAAGTATTTAGGAGGATTGTTGTGCAGTGTCCATGGCCTTGAAGGCTTTCTTTAGACAAACACAATGTGGGTAGTCTCTAGATCTTCTTGTGAAGTCTAGAGATCGATGAAATAGGTCATCAAATCATCTTCAGCGGTTGTTACTCGAGAGAGTGAAAAAATAGCAACTTTGCAACTCTTCAACGGTTGTCACTCGATGGAAAAGAGCTAGATGGAGGTGGGGTGTGTGTTAGAGAGCTTCATCCTTAGGTTCGCATAGTAAGAGGAGGCTCTTCATTGCATTTGGTACTCTCTCAAGAGGTGGTGACTCGTCTCCCGATGAATCATTGTCTTCGTGATGATGGCTTGTTCGTCGATAAATTGAAGAAATTTACTCGATGGATTCATGATCTTTTTATTGCAAATCGTTCAGTAATTTTAGTAACAATGCTTTGTGAATCGTGTTAACAAGATTTTTGTTGATAATCTAGTGATTCTGATGGCTTAATCCTTCACTTGTAACTTATAGGAAAGTCATGATAATCAAATAAAAATACAACTTTTATCTTTGGGAGGATTCAAACTTGGGTCAATCGCCTGTCTATATAAGAGAGATTAAATAAGTACTTTAATGTCCTTATAAAGTGACGTCATCATGGTATATCTCTATTATAACTAAGAGGTAGTTTAGGTATTAAAATCTTCATCCTTAAGTTTAGGTATTGATGAGACTCTCCTTGTTGAATTCCTACTATTTAACAGTTTCTTGAAATGGGTTGTTGAATCATCTTCGGTGGCTGTCACCCAACATAACAGAAAAATGACGACTTTGTAACTCTTCAGCAGCTGTCACCCGACAGAGAGAAGTTAGATGGAGGTGGGGTGCATGTTAGGGAGCTTCATCCTCAAGTCTGTGTAGCAAGAGGACACTCTTCATCACATCTGGTATGCTCTCAAGAGGTGGCGACTTGTCTCCCAATAGATCATCCTCTTCCTGATGATGGCTTGTTTGTCGATCAATCGAAGATGCCTTACTCGATGGATTCGTGATCCTTTTATCATGAATTATTTAGTAATTTTAGTAATAATGCTCCGTGAATCATGTTGATGATATTTTTGCCGATGATAAAGCGATTGGAACCTGCATTGGTTGCCCATTGATGTGACTTAGTTGTTGTATATTAAATCATGCAAATATAAAATTTATAAAACTAGAAAATATGAATTTTTGGATATTTAGAAGTATTTCTAAATAAATATATTAATTATAATTCAATAAAAATTCCAAAAATAGCGGTAATTTTCTAGGTTGATAATAGGGATGTAATATAATATCTGGTAATTATTCAGAATTTTTCTCAATGAATATAATTTTCTTACAAATTTTATACTAGGAAATAAAAAGGAAATATATTTAAAATTCACAAAAAAAGGAAATAAGGGTGCGGACGTCAGAATGATGTCAGCACTCGACAAATGGAAATCAGGCGGAAACACAATTCTGCCTGGTGATTCTTACGTAAGTGATTACAGATGACTTAATTAATCAAATTAAGATCTCTAAAAGTTAGAAAAATCGTATTTTATTTTTTTATTTTTTTATTTTTTTTATGAAGAAATTTGATTGAGTGATAAAAGTTTGACCTCATTCTGAGGTTACATAAGTGGGATCGTAATTGAACGAAGTATAGTTTGGTAAATTAAAATCACACAAAGTATCACTAAATGAAGCGTAAATTAAATTGAAAGTAGGAGAACAGAGTTCCAACGTTGCGACGGCGATGCATCGACGATGCACCGGAATCTTGAGCGTTCGGGAGGATCGTCGTGCAGTGTCCACAGCCTCGAAGGCTCTCCTTGGACAAAGACGACGTGGGCAATCTCTAGATCTTCTCATGAATTCTAGAGATCAATGAAGTGGGTCGTCGAATCGTCTCCGGTGGCTGTGATAAGTTTTCATTATCATGAGTTAATAATTAGTAAATAATATAGTTTTAGCCTTAACTCATGATAAATAGACTTATATTTGTGTTAAAGAATGATTTTTGGTTTTCAATTGATTAACGTGAATTTTTGGGTAATTATGTGATTTTATACGATTTTTACAGTCTTACTTTTGAGATAAATGAAGAACAAGAAATAAAAATAAAAATATTGCAAAAATGGGGGGACCCACTGGCCAGCTGTGCCCGCAAGCGGGTCGGAAGCGCAGTCGGGGAGTAAGCCGCGAGCAGGGGCTCGAGCGGCTTGGCTTGGGGACCGACAGGGCATGCGTACGCCACCCCCCTTCCACGTCACCGGTGGCCAGCCGGCTGTGGGGCAAGGAGTGGTCATACACACGAGAGAAGGGACTTTGCTCAGAAAGCTAACATTACTATATATTCACCCGAAAAATCGGCAAACAACCGATGTGGGACTAAACCCCCGTCACACCTTCCTCAGAAGAGGTGGGCGACCGGCACGGGTTCGAATCCTTCCAGAGTCAAAATTCATATATTTTTATTTGATTATTGCGACTTTCCTGCAGATCGCCTATAAAGGATTAAGGAACGATAATCATTGGATCATCGGCGAAAATCTCGTCAATGCAATTCGCGGAGCATTGCTACTAAAATTGCTAAACGATTTGCGATAAAAGGATCGCAAATCCATCGAGTAAATCATCTCCGATTGATTGACGAACAAGCCGTCGTTAGGAAGAGGACGATCCGCCAGGAGACCAGTTGCCACCTCCTGAGAGCGTACTAGATGTGATGAAGAGCCTCCTCTTGCTGTGCGGACTTGAGGATGAAGCTCCCTGACATGCGTCCCACCTCCATCCAGCTCCTCTTCGTCGGGTGACAGCTGCTGGAGAGCCGCAAAGTTGCCGTTTTTCCACTCTGTCGGGTGACAGCCACCGGAGACGATCGACGACCCACTTCATTGATCTCTAGATTTTGCGAGAAGATCTAGAGATTGCCCACGCTGTCTTTGTCCAAGGAGAGCCTTCAAGGCTGTGGACACTGCACGATAATCCTCTCGAACGCTCAGGATTCCGGTGCATCACCGATGCATCACCGTCACGATGCCGGAACTCTATTTTCCTGCTTTCAATTTAATTTACACTTCATTTAGTGATACTTTGTGTGATTTTAATTTACCAACTATACTTCGTTCAATTACGATTCTTTCCGCTTTTATAGATCTTAATTTGATTAATTAAATCATCTGTAGTTGCTTACGTAAGAATCGCCAAGTGGAACTCTGTTTCCACCCGATTTGCATTCGCCGGGCGCTGATGTCATCTTGATGTCCACACCCTTATTTCCTTTTTTTTGTGAATTTTAAATATATTTCCTTTTTATTTCCTAGTATAAAATTCATAGAAAATCGTATTCATTGAGAAAAATTCTGAATAATTACTAGATATTATATTACATCCTTATGATCGGCCTGGAAAATTACCGCTATTTTTGGAATTTTTATTGAATTATAATTAATATATTTATTTAGAAATACTTCTAAATATCTGAAAATTCATATTTTCTAGTTTTATAAATTTTATATTTGCGTGATTTAATATACAATGACTGACTCACGTCAGTCCTCTTCCTGATGATGGCTTGTTCGTCGATCAATCGGAGATGATTTACTCAATGGATTCGTGATCCTTTTATCGCGAATCGTTCAATAATTTTAGTAGCAATGCTCTGCGAATCGTGTTGACGAGATTTTCGCCGATGATTCAACGATTCTTGTTGCTTAATCCTTCATCGTTGATCTGCAAGAAAGTCGTGATAATCAGATAAAAATATATGAATTTTGACTCCGGGAGGATTCGAACCCACGCTAGTCGCTTGCCTCTAAGGAAGGTGTGACGCTGGTTTAGTCCCACATTAGTTGTGTGCCGATATTTTGATCGAATATATATTAATGTTAGCTTTGTAAGCAAAGTCTGTTCTCTCGCGTGTACGACCACTCCGTGCCCCACAGCCGGCTAGCCACTGGTGACGTGGAAGGGGAGTGGCATACACGTGCCCCTATCGGTCCAAGCTAAGCTGCTTGAGCCCCTACTCGTGGCTACTCCCCAACTGCGCTTCTAACCTACTTGCGGGCCCAGCTAGCCGGCGGGTCCCCCAGTTTGTAATATTTTTCTTAAAATTTCTTGTTCTTCATTTATCTCAAAAGTAAGACTGTAAAAATCATATAAAATCACATAATTACCCAAAAATTCACGTTAATCAACTGAAAACCACAAATCATTCTTTAACAGAAATATAAGTCTATTTATCATGAGTTAAGGCTAAAACTATATTATTTACTAATTATTAACTCATGATAATGAAGACTTATCACTTATTAAGGAGGGTTTTCATCACATTTGGTACATTTTCAGAAGGTAACGACTTGTCTCTCAATGGATTGTCCTCTTCTCAATGACGTCTTGTTCATTGATCAATCAGAGATAATTTACTCAATAGATTCGTGATCATTTTATTGCGAATCATTCAATAATTTTAGTAACAATGCTCTACGAATCGCATTGACAAGATTTTTACCAATGATCTAGTGATTATGGCAGCTTAATCCTTAACTAGTGATTTGTAGAAAAGTCACGATAATCAGATAAAAATATAAGTTTTGGCTCTAGAAGGACAAACCTACACCAATTGCCTACCTACATAATAGAGATTAAAATAAGTATTCTAATGCCCTTATCAAATGACATCATCATGGTATATCTTTGTTATAAATAAGGGGTATTTTAGGTATTAAAATCTTCAAAGCTTTTCAAGGGAAGGTGTGACACAGGGTTAATCCCACATCATTTGTGTGATGAAGTTTCGGGCGAATATAAAGTAATATCATATTTGCAAGCAATGAGTCTCTTTCTCTCATGTGTACACCACTCCTTGCCCCACAGTCGGCTGGTCACTAGTTGCAGGTGAAGGTCTAAGCCGCTCAAGCATCTACTTATGGCTACTCCCCAACTACACTTATGACCTACTTGCAGGCCCTGCTGGCCAGTGGGTCCCTCCCATTTTACTATATATATATTTTTTTTTCTTCATTTATCTAAAAAATAAGGCTATAAAAATTATAGAAATTCATAGAAAATCACATAATTAGTCAAAAATTCACGTTAATCAACTAAAAATCACTTTTTACCCTTTAACACAAATATACGTCTATTTATCATGAGTTAATGCTCAAACTATATTATGTACTAATTATTAACTCATGATAATGAAGACTTATCCCACCCCTCAACTTAAATCATTGCTAGTCCCTTGGTAATAAAATTACGAAAAAAAAAATTCATAAATCTCAAACATCATATTTCAATACATAAAAAAAATATAATTAGAAATGATACCCCTTTAGTGATGGCAAGTGGGATCCATCTTGATCAGCTCAGGAGACACTAACAATCTGAGTTTAGTCTGATCGATGTGCGAAGACGAAGGAGCCTAGCTTTTGCTACATGGCCTACCCCTTCGAGACGATGACATTCCACCTCCATGATGACGACGAGCTCGAGCTCACCCTTATCTTTCTTTATATTTTCATGTTGACTTATTGGGACTCGCATTTGTGTGTTAGCAGGCCCAATTCTATGTGCATGTGTTATTGTTTGTGTCTCCCTTTCTTTAGGGTTTTATTGGGTCTTTCTTTTGAGGCCTAATTAAAACCCTAGGGGGGACCTATATTTCTTTCCTTTTGGGCCTCTTTTGGGGCTTATTTGGGTCTTCATTTGAGGCCCACTTAAGTACCGTACGAGGGCTGTCCTCTTTCTCCTTTTAGGGGAGCTTATTGGGTCTCTCTTTAGAGGCCCAATAAGCCCCTTTTGTAGCCTTTTTGTGGCTTATGGGCTTGAGGGCCTCAAGTGGGCCCACCTCCCCTTAGCCCACTTGTGGGCCCTATATAAGGGGAGGTAGGACCCCCCCTCAAAAAGAAGCACTAAATTTTGTGAGAGATTAACATTTGTGAGTTACCTTCTTCGTGACCTAAGATAGAGAGGGAAGGAGGGAGAGTGATAAGTCTTCATTATCATGAGTTAATAATTAGTAAATAATATAGTTTTAGTCTTAACTCATGATAAATAGACTTCTATTTGTGTTAAAGTGCAAAAAATGGTTTTTTAGTTGATTAACGTGAATTTTTGGGTAATTATGTGATTTTATACAATTTTTATAGTCTTACTTTTGAGATAAATGAAGAACAAGAAATAAAAATAAAAATATTACAAAATGGGGAGACCCACCGGCTAGCCGGGCCTGTAAGTGGGTCAGAAGCGCAGTCAAGGAGTAGTCACAAGCAGGGGCTCGAGCAACTTGAACCAATGGGGGCACATGTGTGCCACTCCCCTTCCATGTCACTGGTGGTCAGTTGGCTATGGGGCAAAGAGTGGTCGTACACGCACGAGAAAGGGACTTTGCTTAGGAATGTAACATTACTATGTATTCACCCAAAAATTTGGCACACAACCGATGTGGGACTAAACCCTTCACCTTCCTTAGAAGAGGCAAGGGCAACTGGCACAGGTTTGAATCCTCATAGAGCAAAAACTCATATTTTTATTTGATTATCATGACTTTTCTGTAGATTGTTGGAGAAGGATTAAGCAACTAGAATCACTGGATCATCGGCAAAAATCTCATCAATGCGATTTGTGGAGCATTGTTACTCAAATTGCTAAAGAATTCATGATAAAAAGATTGCAAATCCATCGAGTAAATCATCTTCGATTGATCGACGAACAAGCTGTCTTCGGGAAGAGGATGATCCATTGGGCGACGAGTCACCACCTCTTGAGAGAGTACTGACGTGACTTAGTCATTGTATATTAAATCATGCAAACATACAATTTATAAAACTAGAAAATATGATTCTTTGGATATTGAGAAGTATTTCTGAACAAATATATCAATTATACTTCAATAAAACTTCCAAAAATAGCGGTAATTTTCTAAGTCGATCACATGGATGTAATATAATATCTAGTAATTATTCAGAATTTTTCTCAGATAATACTATTTTATATGAATTTTATACTAAAAATGGAAAGGAAATATATTCAAAATTCATGAAAAAAAAAGGAAATAAGGGTGCGGGCATCAAGATGACGTTAGCACCTGGCGAATGTGAATTGGGCAGAAATAGAGTTCTGCCTGATGATTCTTACGTAAGCGATTATAGACGATTTAATTGATCTAATTATGATCTGTAAAAGCCAGAAGAATCATAATAGAACAAAGTATATTTTGGTAAATTAAAATCACAAAAACTATCACTAAATGAAGCATAAAGTAAGTTGAAAGTAAGAAAACAAAGTTCCAGCGTCGCGACGGCGATGCGTCGGCGATGCACTAAAATCCTAAGTGTTCGAGAGGATCGTCGTGTAGTGTCCACAGCCTCGAAAGCTCTCCTTGGACAAAGACAACGTGGGCAATCTCTAGATCTTCTCGCGAAGTCTAGAGATTAATGAAATGAGTTTTTGAGTCGTCTCTGGCGACTGTCACCTAACGGAGCACAAAAACGGCGACTTTGCGGCTCTCTAGCGACTGTCACCCAATGAAAATGAGCTGGATGGAGATGGGGCGCATGTTAGGGTTTGACCGATATGAATATAGAGATAATTTTGGAGGAGAAAATTTGAATTTTTCTGAATTCATTAGATCTGAGATTAAAGAAGACAATCCTTCCATCCTTCAAAACCCACAGCCCATTATAATTATTTCTAAACTTGAAATATTTCACTCCTCATAAATTGAACAAATAGGTATGGAAGATAAAATGGAGCAGCAGAAGATTATGAAGATAAAAGAACACATGAAGAAATGGGTGGAAGAATTAGAGATATCAATTTAAATGAAAAAGTTTTAGATTGGTCAAGAGCTAATTTGAAAATTATATGGCCTGATCACATTTTATGGTCTATTAATAGAAAGTATTTATTAATGAATGAGAGCCTTACAAACAAGATAGAAATAAGGAAATATTCTTTTCAAAATGGAAATATTATTTTTGGGAAAATTTTATTAATTTCCATTTTATTTTGGTTGAAAGTATGTCAAGTTATATATATGAAGTATATGAATTTATGCTAAACCTAAAAAAGAATATCATGAAACTTACCTTGGGATACAAATATATTTTGATGGCCATAGATCATCTTATATGATTTAAGACCTGTCCAATTAGAGACATTAAATGCTATGCTGCATGGGAGGCAACCCATGGTTTTTTCATTCTGTTTGATTTTGTTTTGAACTTTGTTTTCCTTAGAATTCGCAGTACTTCTTTCTATATTTATTTTTTATGAAAAAGTGTAGGAGGAGTGTAAGATGAAGTAGAAATTAAAAATGAGGTTGAGGTGATGTCTTTTTGAGCTTTATCATTTATGAAAATATTTTTAATACTTAACTTTGCACATATGCATGCTTCACATGAAAATTATATTTTCTGTATATTCTATTTCGATTTTTCTATGTCATTAAGTACAATGTCATTTTTAAGTTGGGGAGTGAAGTATTCATTATTAATTTATGCTGTAAGACGATTAAGAACATGTGTTTGCATTTTATTCAACCTAAAACAGCAATTAAAAAAATAAAAATAAAATAAATTTCGAAAAATAGGTAACATCTATTTTCTGGTTTTTTGTTAAAAACAACAGACTATCAAAAATAGCAGATAAAAAATAGCCTGAAATTTGAAATTCTAGAAGACCCTTTTCTCACATTTCAATCCTCTAGATATATATTACTGAAATTTGAAATTACAGCTATAAAGAGGATAGTTTTGATTTATTTTTGATAAATTTATTGCTGCTAAAAATAGAATTGAAAACAAAAAACAGAATTGTCAGAACTATCTAATTTACAAATTTCTTACATCATCTTACATGCATGAAAAATTAAATCAATTAGATTGATTGATACCAAAAGATACTAGAAAGATTATTATTGAGTTAAAAGAATGATCTAATAGCATGAAATGTTGGAATACTCTTTGGATACATGATAGATAACATGGATTTTATTTTACAGGTTTTCACTTCATGATCTTGATGGATAGTATTTACTTGATGTGAAAATTTGATTAATCATTTGAGTTTAATAGAGATTTTTGTACCCTGATCTATAGGACTTGTGAGGAGAAATCACTTATTTTGAGAAAAAAAAAAAGAGAGAGCAATGTGAAAAATCTAGAAATGAAGAGTACACATGGAGGGTGTGAGACATCATTCTCCTTGTCGAAAATCGTGCATAGAAAAACACTTGCTGAAAATTAAGTAGATAAAGTGAAAGCCTTGAAAATGAAGAGTACATATGGAGGGTGTGAGACATCATTCTTATTGTCAAAATTTGTCTACAGGAAACGCTACTTATCCACTATTTATAAAAAAAAAAAAGAAGGAAGAAATATAGTGCAAATTTCAAAAATTAAGTCATAGAAAAAGAGAAATGTAGGATCAATATTATTCTTGGATGAGTATTGATAATTGAAATATCTTGTAAATACATCTATGAGTGAAGAAGTGATAAAGATGTGAATAGAAGAAGTGAAGTCTAGGTTGTTATTCCAAGGAGTGCTTAAACATTTAAGTGCTTGACATCATTCTTAAATACTTGATATAAGAATCCAAAGTGTTTAAAGGTGCATCATTTTTAATTGTCTTTTTTTCTTTCTATATTGAAATATGATGTTTGAGATTTATAAAATTTTATTTTCATAATTCCATTGCTAAGGGACTAGCAATGATTTAAGTTGGGGGATGTGATAAGTCTTCATTATCATGAGTTAATAATTAGTAAATAATATAGTTTTAGCCTTAACTCATGATAAATAGACTTATATTTGTGTTAAAGTGTGAAAAAGCGTTTTCAGTTGATTAATGTGAATTTTTGGATAATTATGTGGATTTATATAATTTTTACAATCTTACTTTTAAGATAAATAAAGAACAAAAAATAAAAATAAAAATATTGCAAAATAAGGGGACCCACCGGGCCCGCAAGTAGGTCGGAAGCTTAGTCGGGGAGTAGCTGCGAGAAGGGGATCGAGCGGCTTGGACTGATATGGGCACATGTATGCTACTCCCCTTCCACGTCACTGGTGGCCAGCCGGCTATGGGGCAAGGAGTGGTCGTACATGTGAGAGAAGGGATTTGGCCTAGAAATCTAATAATAAGTCTTCATTATCATGAGTTAATAGTTAGTAAATAATTTAGTTTTAGCCTTAACTCATGATAAATAGACTTATATTTGTATTAAAAAATGATTTATGGTTTTCAATTGATTAACGTGAATTTTTGGGTAATTATGTGATTTTATATGATTTTTACAGTCTTACTTTTGAGATAAATGAAGAACAAGAAATAAAAATAAAAATATTGCAAAATGGGGGATCCGCCAGCCAGCCGGGCCCGCAAGCGGGTCGGAAGCATAGTCGGGGAGTAGCCGCTAGTAGGGGCTCGAGGGGCTTGGCTTGGACCGATAGGGGCACGTGTGCGCCACTGTCCTTCCACATCACCGGTGGCCAGCTGGCTGTGGGGCAAGGAGTGGTCGTACATGCGAGAGAAGAGACTTTGCTTACAAAGCTAACATTACTATATATTTGCCCGAAAAATCGGCGCACAACCGATGTGGGACTAAACCCGCGTCACACCTTCCTCATAAGAGGCGGGCGACCGGCGTGGGTTCGAATCCTCCTAGAGTTAAAATTCATATATTTTTATCTGATTATTGCGACTTTCTTGCAGATCGCCGGTGAAGGATTAAGCAACGAGAATCGCTGGATCATCGGTGAAAATCTCGTCAACGCGATTCGCGGAGCATTACTACTAAAATTGTTGAACAATTTACAATAAAATGATCGCGAATCCATTGAGTTAATCATCTCTGATTGATTGACGAACAAGCCGTTGTCGAGAAGAGGACGATTCGCCAGGAGACTAGTCACCACCTCTTGAGAGCATACTAGATGTGATGAAGAGCATCCTCTTGTTGCGTGGACCTGAGGATGAAGCTCCCTGACACACGCCCCACCTCCATCCAACTCCTCTCTATCAGGTGACAGCCGCTGGAGAGCCACAAAGTCGCCATTTTTCTGCTCTGTTGAGTGACAGCCACCGAAGACGATTCGACGACCCACTTCATTGATCTCTAGACTTCGTGAGAAGATCTAGAGATTGCCCATGTTGTCTTTGTCTAAGGAGAGCCTTCGAGGCCGTGGACACTACACGACGACCCTCTTGAATGCTCAAGATTCCAGTGCATCGCTGACGCATCACCGTTGCGACGTCGGAACTCTATTTTCCTGCTTTCAATTTACATTACACTTCATTTAGTGATAATTTTTGTGTTTTTAATTTACCAAAATATACTTTGTTCTATTATGATTCTTCTGGCTCTTACATATCTTAATTTGATCAATTAAATCATCCGTAATCACTTACGTAAGAATCGTCAGGCGGAACTCTATTTCCACCCGATTCACGCTCACTAGGTGCTGATGTCATCCTGACGTTCGCACCCTTATTTCCCTTTTTCGTGAATTTTAAATATATTTCCTTTTTATTTCCTAGTATAAAATTCATAGAAAATCGTATTCATTGAGAAAACTTTTGAATAATTACTAGATATTATATTACATCCTATGATCGACCTCGAAAATTACTACTATTTTTGGAATTTTTATTAAATTATAATTGATATATTTATTTAGAAATACTTCTAAATATCTAAAAATTCGTATTTTCTTGTTTTATAAATTTTATATTTACGTGATTTAATATACAACGACTAAGTCACGTCAAATTTTGACGTGAGAGGAGCTGGATGGAGGTGGGGCGCATGTCAGGGAGCTTCATCTTCAAGTCTGCACAGCAAGAGGAGGCTCTTCATCGCATCTGGTACGCTCTTAGGAGGTGGTGACTAGTCTCCCAGTGGATCGTCCTCTTCTCGACGACGGCTTGTTCGTCGATCAATCGAAGATGATTTACTCAATGGATTCACGATCCTTTTATCATGAATCATTCAACAATTTTAGTAGCAATACTCTGTGAATCGCGTTGACGAGATTTTCGCCGATGATCCAGCGATTCTTGTTGCTTAATCCTTCACCGGCGATATGCAAGAAAGTCACGATAATCAGATAAAAATATATGAATTTTGACTTTGGGAGGATTCAAACCCACGCCAGTCGCCCGCCTCTTCTGAGGAAGGTGTGACGCGGGTTTAGTCCCACATCAGTTGTGCGTCAATTTTTCGGGCGAATATATATTAATGTTAGCTTTGTAAGCAAAGTCCCTTCTCTCGCGTGTACGACCACTCCTTGCCCCATAGTCGGCTGGCCACCGGTGACGTGGAAGGGGAGTTGTGTACACGTGCCCTATCGGTCCCTAAGCCAAGCTGCTCGAGCCCCTACTAGCGGCTACTCCTCGACCCGCTTGCGGGCCCGGCTGGCTAGTGGATCCCCCATTTTGCAATATTTTTATTTTTATTTCTTGTTCTTCATTTATCTCAAAAGTAAGACTGTAAAAATCATATAAAATCACATAATTACCCAAAAATTTACGTTAATCAACTGAAAACCACAAATCATTTTTTAACAGAAATATAAGTCTATTTATCATGAGTTAAGGCTAAAACTATATTATTTACTAATTATTAACTCATGATAATGAAGACTTATCATCTAACATTACTATATATTTGCTTGAAAAATCGGCGCACAACTGATGTGGGACTAAACCTGCATCACACCTTCCTCAGAAGAGGCGGGTGACCGGCGCAGGTTTGAGTCCTTTCAGAGTCAAAAGTCATTTATTTTTATCTAATTATTGTGACTTTCCTACAGATCGCTGGTAAAGAATTGCTGGATCATCGGTGAAAATCTCATCAACGCGATTCGCGAAGCATTGCTACTAAAATTGCTGAAGGATTTGCAATAAAAGAATCGCGAATCCATCGACTAAATCATCTTCGATTAATTAACGAGTCGCCACCTCTTGAGAGCGTACCAGATGCGATGAAGAGCCTCCTCTTGCTGCATGGATCGCGTTGATGAGATTTTTGTTGATGATCCAGCGATTCTCGTTGCTTAATCCTTCACCGACGATCTGCAAAAAAGTCACAATAATCAGATAAAAATATATGACTTTTGACTCTAGAAGGACTCAAACCCGCACCGGTCGCCCGGCTCTTCTGAGGAAAGTGTGACGCAGGTTTAGTCTCACATCAGTTGTGCACCAATTTTTTGAGCGAATATATAGTAATGTTAGATTTCTAAGCTAAGTCCCTTCTCTCGCATGTATGACCACTCCTTGCCCCACAACTGGCTGGCCACCGGTGACGTGGAAGGGAAGTGGTGCACACGTGCCCCTATTGGTCCAAGCCGCTTGAGCCCCTGCTCGCGGCTACTCCCTGACTATGCTTCCGACCTGCTTGCGGGCCTGGCTGGCTGGCAGGTCCCCCCTATTTTGCAATATTTTTATTTCTTATTCTTCATTTATCTCAAAAGTAAGATTGTAAAAAACATATAAAATCACATAATTACCTAAAAATTCACATTAATCAATTGAAAACTAGTTTTCACACTTTAACACAAATATAAGTCTAACTATCATGAGTTAAACCTAAAACTATATTATTTACTAATTATTAACTCATGATAATGAAGACTTATCACGTACCAGATGGGATGAAGAGCCTCCTCTTGTTGCACAGACTTGAGGATGAAGCTTCTTGACACATGCCCCACCTCCGTCTAGCTCCTCTCTGTCAAGTGACAGCCACCAAAGAGCTGCAAAGTCACCGTTTTTCCGCTCCACCAGGTGACAACCGTCGAAGATGACTTGACGACCCATTTCATTAATCTCTAGACTTCACGAGGGGATCTAGAGATTGCCCACGTCATCTTTGTCTAAGGAGAGCCTTCAAGGCTGTGGACACTACATGATGATCCTCCCAAATGCTCAAGATTTTAGTTCATCATTGACACATTGCTGTCGCGACGTTGGGACTCTATTTTCTTGCTTTCAACTTACTTTACACTTCATTTAGTGATAACTTTTGTGATTTTTATTTACTAAAATATACTTTGTTCTATTACGATTCTTCTCGTTTTTACAGATCTTAATTTGATTAATTAAATCATTTGTAATTGCTTATGTAAGAATCGTTGGGTGGAACTCTATTTCTACCTAATTCGCATTTGTTAGGCACTAACATCATCTTGATGTCCGCACCCTTATTTCCCTTTTTCATGAATTTTAAATATATTTCCTTTTCATTTTCTAGTATACAATTCATAGAAAATCATATTCATTGAGAAAATTCTGAATAATTACCAGATATTATGTTACATCCCTATGATCGACCTAGAAAATTACCGCTATTTTTGAAAGTTTTATTAAATTATAATTGACATATTTGTTCAGAAATACTTCTAAATATCTAAAAAATCATATTTTCTAGTTTTATAAATTTTAGATTTCTGTGATTTAATATACAATGACTAAGTCACATCATGGGCCAATCTTTCCTATTTGGTCTAACTATTTTTCTCAAAATTCTTTGAATTTCCTTATTTGCTACTTCAACTTGCCCATTTGTTTGGGGATGGTATGAAGTGGCTACTCTATGGTATACTCCATTCTTTTTCAATAGTTCTATGAAATGTTTATTTGTAAAATGTGTTCTTCCATCACTAATAATTACTCTAGGACATTCAAATCTTGAAAAAATATTTTTTTATAAAAATTTTATTACGATTTTATGATCATTAGTTCTAACAGGAATAGCTTCCACCCACTTAGACACATAATCAATAGCAAACAAAATATATTCATATTTTTCAGTTGATGGGAAGGGACCCATGAAATCTATTTCCCATACATCAAAAATTTCGACTACTAACATGTTACTTATGGGCATTTCATCTTTTTTACTCATATTACCTATAGATTGGCATGAAATCATGTTCTACTAAATTCTATAAAATCTCTAATGTTTGGAGGCCAATAAAAATCACATTGAAAAATTTTTACAACTATTTTTCATCTAGAGAAATGTCCTCCACAGTTAAATGAATGGCACATATTCAGAATGCTATGATATTCTTCTTTAGGAACACATCTCTTTAAAATTTGATCATTGCCCAAGTAATATAAATCAAGATCATGCCAAAATAATTTCTAATCATAGAAAAGAAATGATATTTTCTGTTCTTATCCCACTGTTCTAGAATTTTTTTAGAAAACCAGAAAATTAATAATATGCGCATACCATGGTGATGGTTGATGTTGAGTTGCCATCAATTGTTCATCTAGAAATGCATCTTGTAAAGTTGCTGTATTTATTTTTGTATCACTCAATCTAGAAAGATGGTCAATAACAATAATCTCAAAACCTTTTTTATCTTTTATTTCTAAGTCAAATTCCTACAATAATAAAGTCCATGTTAATAAATGTGAATTTGCATCTTTCTTATTTAACAAATATTTAAATACTACATGATCAATATAAATAATAATTTTAGCTCCCAAAAAATATGATCTAAACCTTTCTAACAAAAATACTACAACTAACAACTCTTTTTCAATCGTGGTATAATTTAACTAAGCTTCAGATATAGTTTTACCAACATATGAAATTACTATGGGTTTTGACTCTTTTGTCTGTTCTAGAATGACTCCCACTACATAATTTGATGCATCACACATTATTTCAAAGGGAAGGGATCAATTAGGAGCTTTTGTCTTTTTATTTCAAAAAAAGACTCAAAACATTTCTCATCAAAATTAAAAAGTACATCTTTAGATAATAATATGGTGAGAGGTTTAGAAATTTTCAAAAAATCTTGAATAAATTTTCTATAATAACTTGCATGACCGAAGAAAGATCTAATCTATTATACTAAATTTGGAGGTTTCATTTAAGATATAATATCAATTTTTACTTTATCTACCTCTAAACCTCTTTCACTCACAATATGACTAAACACAACTCACTCTCTAACCATAAAATATGATTTCTCCCAACTCAAAACTATTTTTTTCTCTATACATTTCTTAGGTACATGCTGTAAATGATTTAAGCATTCATCAAATGATTCACCAAAAATAGAAAAATCGTCCATAAAAAAATTCATACATTTTCCAATCATATTAGAAAAAATAGATAGCATACATCTTTGAAATGTGACTAGAGTATTACACAGACCAAAAGGCATGTGTTTAAAAGCAAAAATACCAAATGGACAAGTGAAAGTTATTTTTTCTTGATCTAAAAGGTTTATATAAATTTGATTATAACTAGAGTATCCATCTAGAAAAAAAAAAGGTTTTTCCAACTAATTTTTCTAGAATTTGATCATTAAATGGTAAGGAAAAATGATCTTTTCTAGTAACTGAATTTAATTTGCTATAATCAATGCAAACCTTCCAACTGATAGTTAATCTTATTTGTATTTCATCTCTATTTTTATTTTTTATAACCGTGATCTCTAATTTTTTTTGGCACCAACATTTCAATCCCATAGATATATATTTCTGAAATTCGAAATTACAGCTATAAAAAGGATAGTTTTGACAAATTTATTGCTGCTAAAAATAGAATTGAAAACAGAAGATAGAACTGTCAGAACTGTCTAATTTACAAATTTCTTACATCATATTGCATGCAAGAAAAATTAAATCAATTAGATTGATTGATACCAAAAAATACTAGGAAGATTATTATTGAGTTAAAAGAATAATCTAGTAGCATGAAATATTGGAATACTCCTTGGATACATGATAGATAACATAGATTTGATTTTACAAATTTTCACTTCATGATCTTGATGGATAGTATTTACTTGATGCGAAAATTTGATTGATCATTTGAGTTTAATGGAGATTTTTGTACCCTGATCTATAGGACTTGAAAGAGAAATCACTTATTTCGAAAAAAAAAAGAGAGAGCAATGTGAAAAATCTAGAAACGAAGAGTATATATGGAGGGTGTGAGACATCATTCTCATTGTCAAAAATCATGCATAGAAAAATACTTGCTGCAAAATAAGTGGATAAAGTGAAAGCCCTAAAAATGAAAAGTACACATAGAGGGTGTGAGACATCATTCTTGATGTCGAAATTTATCTACAGAAAAAGCTACTTATCTACTATATATATATATATATATATATAAAGAAGAGAAGGAAGAAATATAGTGCAAACTTCCAAAATCAAGTCATAGAAAAAGAGAAATGTATGATCAATATTATTCTTAGATGAGTATTGATAATATTATTCTTGGATGAGTATTGATAATTGAAACATCTTATATATATCTATAAGTGAAGAAGTGATAAAGATGTGAATAGAAGAAGTGAAATCTAGATTGTTATTCCAAGGAGTGTTTAAATATTTAAGTACTTGACATCATTCTTAAATACTTGATATAAGAATCTAAAGTGTTTAAAGGTGCATCATTTCTAATTGTATTTTTTTCTTTTTGTATTGAAATATAATTTTTGAGATTTGTAAATTTTATTTTCGTAATTCCATTGCTAAGGGACTAGCAATGATTTAAGTTGGGGGGTGTGATAAGTCTTCATTATCATGAGTTAATAATTATTAAATAATATAATTTTAGCCTTAACTCATGATAAATAGACTTATATTTGTGTTAAAGTGTGAAAAGTGGTTTTTAGTTGATTAACATGAATTTTTAGGTAATTATGTGATTTTACATGATTTGTACAGTCTTACTTTTGAGATAAATGAAAAACAAGAAATAAAAATAAAAATATTGTAAAATGGAGGGACCCACTGGCCAGCTGGGCCTGCAAATGGGTCAGAAGCTTAGTTAGGGAGTAGCTACAAGTAGGGGCTCGAGCAGCTTGGCGTGGACCGATAGGGGCACGTGTGCGCCATTGTCCTTCCACGTCAACAGTGGCCAACCGGTTGTGGGGCAAGGTGATGGTGAGCGGGACCTGTCTCCATCAGCTCAGGAGACACCGGCAGTCCGAGTTCAACCTGATTGATGCACGAAGACGAAGGAGCCTGGCTTTCGCTACATGGCCTAGCCCTTTGGGACGATGACATTCCACCTCTGTGACGACGACAAGCTTGAGCTCAACCATATCTTTCTTTATATTTTCACGTTGACTTGTTGGGCCTCGCGTTTGTGTGTTAGCAGGCCCAATTCTATGTGTGTGTGTTGTTGTTTGTCTCTCTTTCTTTAGGGTTTTATTGGGTCTTTCTTTGAGGCCCAATTAAAACCCTAAAAGGGGGGGACCTATGTGTCTTTCTTTTTTTGGGCCTCTTTGGGGGCTTATTTGGGTCTTTATTTGAGGCCCACTTAAGCATCATAAGAGGGCCCTCCTCTTTCTCCTTTTAGGGGAGCTTATTGGGTCTCTTTTTAAGAGGCCCAATAAGCCCCTTTTGTAGCCTTTGTGGCTTATGGGCTTGAGGGTCTCAAGTGGGCCCACCTCCCCTTAGCCTACTTGTGGGCCCCCATATAAGGGGAGGTAGAACCCCCCTCAGAGAGCGCCGTATTTTTTGAGAGAAATTATCGTTGTGAGTTATCTTCCTCGTGACCTAGAATAGGGAGGGAAGGAGGAAGAGGAAGGCCGTCGATACCCCCTTCGAGGACTTCGTTCCTTGTGACGCTGCTGCCCGAGAAGTCCCACTGCCGCCTGAGACCACTACCGCCGCCGGCCATCTCATTGCCGCCCGGGAGCTCGCCGCCGTCACCTGACGAAACGGTCGCGGTTGCCGCTGCAGCCGTCGCCGCCTCTGCTGGAACCCCGTCACGCCGTCGTGACGAAAGGGGCTCGCTTCGCCTCCCCACGAGCCGTCGCCGAGCACTCCGCCGGAGTCTCTCGACTCCCGATTCGACTGCCGCCTCTTCCTCCAGAACTCCACCATAAATTCGCCGGAGCCGCCCTCAGCCGCTCCGCCCAGTCGCTGGCCGGTCGCCGACGAACGCCGACCTGCCGCCGACGTCGGAAGAGACCCCGCAGCCGCGCTGACGAGCCAGAACCAGTCCCAGCTCCTCACAGGCCCCCCCGCCGGATTTTCCCGACGCTCCGCCGCCGTCACGCCGTTTACGGCGCCGCTTAGACCAGGAGAGCTCAACCCTCCCTGGTATCGTCGGCCGGATCGTCTCCTCTCTGCTCCGCTTCCCGGTGCCACCAGAGAGGCCGATCCTTCCGGTGACGGTTGGGTTTCTGCCCCAACCGCTGACCCTCGGCATTCCCGCCGAAGCGCCGCTGACGCTCGGCATTCCTGCCGAAGCGCCGCTGACGCTCGGCCTTCCCGCTGAACGTCGACGCTCGGCATTCCCGCCGAAGCGTCGCTGACGCTTGGCATTCCTGCCGAAGTGCCACAGACGCTCGGCCTTCCAGCCGAAGCACTGCCGCCGCGTGCGCCCCGCGCGCCGGCTCTTGCGGCCTGTGCGACCACCCGGCACCACTGCCCGCGTGTCCTAGGGCACGCCGCGCGACTTGCCGTGCACGCCCGCTAGCATGCCCTTCGGCCCACCAGTGGGCCCACACCCACTACGTGCCCTTTGGCCCACCTGCAGGCCCACGCCCATGCCGATTGTGCCACGCCCTAAGACGATGACTTCTGTGACCCTCAACAAGGACCGACCGTCGACGCTGAGCATCACTCTTCACCAGACGTCCCTGCCTTTGTCTGATCTCCGCTCCGTCACAACCCGCCAGCCTATGCAGCCCTGAAGGTTAACTCTGTACCCCTTCTTACTTAAGTTTAATTATCTTTTGAAGGGTTTTCTCAGCTCGTCTCTACCACCTTCAGGAGCACATAGACAAGATAGGATAGGTTATCAGATTGTGACTCCCAATGCTACGTCAGACTTGTCACAGTTCGTGAGCTGTAGCACTAGGCTACTTCACGACGATAGTTCTACCATCTATCTAGACATGGATCGAGAGGGCCTCTCACTCACCATCGTCAAGTGTTTACCTGGGTTGTCTTAGGATGATCACGCATATTGGTACGCCTGCCTGTGCTTATGTTATGTGGTCATACCTAAAGTCTAGGGTCAAAACCTTCTTATTAGATCAGTCCAACTGCCCCATCATGAGACTCGAGTTTCATTGATCATGTATAGGGGGTTCTCGCCCTATCCTGCATCACAAGGATTGGTCGTACACGCTCAGGATTACAGGTGATGCACCGAAATCCTGAGCATTCGGGAGGATCGTCGTGCAGTATCCTACTTTCAACTTACTTTATGCTTCATTTAGTGATAATTTTTGTGATTTTAATTTACCAAAATATACTCTATTCAATTACAATTCTTCTAACTTTTACAGATCTTAATTTAATCAATTAAATCGACTATAAGCACTTATATAAGATCACCAGGTAGAACTCTATTTCCGCCCGATTCATGTTCGCTAGATGCTGACATCATCCTGACACCACACCCTTATTTCTCTTTTTCGTGAATTTTAAATATATTTCCTTTTCATTTCCTAGTAAAAAATTTATAAAAAATCATATTCATTGAGAAATATTCTGAATAATTACTAAATATTATACTACATCCTTGTGACCGACTTGGAAAATTACTACTATTTTTGGAAGTTTTATTGAATTATAATTGATATATTTATTTAGAAATACTTCTAAATATCTGAAAATTTATATTTTCTAATTTTATAAATTTTTGATTTGCGTGATTTAATATACAACGACTGAGTCACGTTAGTACTCTAAATTAGAGAAGAGTCATATCTCATTGGGTCTAATTAGGAGCAACTTTGAGCTTGTAGTCTACTTCAAGAAGAAGGTGAATTCTTACCTATATGTGAGTATATGTTGATGATTTAATCAATACTTGGAACATTGAAAAGGAAATTGAAGATTTCAAGTTCAAAATGGCCAACATATTCGAGATGTTTGATATTTTCATATTTCAGTGATTTAAAATATATATACTATAGTTTTCATTATTTTATTATTTTCATTTCAATAGTATTTAAAAAAAGTTTATTAGGCTCATTTGATTTCTATTTACATTTATTTCATAATTTAGAATTCTAAATCTTTAGTTTCTATTTATTTACTTGAGTATCTTAATTTTTCATTGATTCTATACTTATCTTTGACATATTGATTAGAATCATATCTTTATGTCATGATCATTGCTAGATTTAAAGTTTGAAAAACCTGATTTATGAACAGTAGATGCAGTTGGCAACCAATCTTAGAAAATCCAACTATTAACCAATCTAAAAATTTAGGGACACATGAAAAATGAAATTTACCACTCATATAAGAGACTCCAACAAAAGAAAAAAGAAAAAAAACATCTTCTATAGAAGTAGAACCATCTAAGATGGATCATCCAACCTAACTAAAAATTTAGGGACACATGAAAAATGAAATTTACCACTCATATAAGAGACTCCAACAAAAGAAAAAAGAAAAAAAACATCTTCTATAGAAGTAGAACCATCTAAGATGGATCATCCAACCTAACTAAAAATTTAGGGACACATGAGAATGTTGAAAATATTCAACCTTATAAATCTACGTGTGATTATTATTCATCTATAATTTGCCAAACATCTAGGATAGATGATATGTCTTCATTATCATGAGTTAATAATTAGTAAATAATATAGTTTTAGCCTTAACTCATGATAAATAGACTTATATTTGTGTTAAAGTGTGAAAATTAATTTTTAGTTGATGAACATAAGTTTTTGGGTAATTATATGATTTTATATGAATTTATATGATTTTTACAGTCTTACTTTTGAGATAAATGAAGAAAAAGAAAATAAGACAAAATGGGGGGGACCTGCAGACCAACCGGGCCTGCAAGCAAGTCGAAAGCATAGTCAAGGAGTAGCCGCAAGTAGGGGCTTAAGTAGCTTGGACCAATTGGGGCACGTGCCACTCCCCTTCCACATCACCAATGGCCAGCCGGCTATAGGGCAAGGAGTGGTCAAACACGTGCAAGAAAGAGACTTAATTGGAAATATAATATTATTATATATTCGCCAAAAACTTTGGCACACAACCGATGTGGGACTAAACTCGCGTCACACCTTCCCTAGAAAGGGTGGGCAACTGGTGTGGGTTTGAATCTTCCTAGAGCCAAAACTTATATTTTTTATTTGATTATCACGACTTTCTTGCAGATCGTCGGTGAAAGATTAAGCAACTAGAATTGTTGGATCATCGGCGAAAATCTTGTCAATGCAATTTGCGGAGTATTATTACTAAAATTGCTGAATGATTCACGATAAAAGGATCACAAATCTATTGAGTAAAGCATCTCCGATTGAGCGACGAATAAGTTGTTGTCGAAAAGAAGATGATCCACTAGGAGATGAGTCACCACCTCCTAAGAGCATACTGGATGCGACCTAAGGATGAAGCCCCCTAACACTCGCCCCACCTCCATCCAACTCCTCTCTATTAGGTGACAACCATCGGAGAGCCACAAAGTTGTCATTTGTCTACTCTATTAGGTGACAGCTGCTGGAGAGGATTTGAGGGCCTATTTTATTGATCTCTAGACTTCGCAAAGAGATCTAGAGATTGTCCATGTCGTCCTTGTCCAAGAAAAGCCTTTGAGGCCATAGACACTACACGATGATCCTCCCGAATGTTCAAGATTTTGGTGCATCGCTGATGTATCGTTGCCATGACGCCGGAACTCTATTTTCCTACTTTCAACTTAATTTCTACTTCATTTAGTGATAATTTGTTGATTTTAAATTTATCAAGATATACTTCATTCTATTATGATTATTCTGGCTTTTACAGATCTTAATTAAATTATCTATAATCACTTACGTAAGAATCAACAGACAGAACTCTATTTCTGCCCTATTTGCATTCCCTGGGCGTTGATGTCATCTTGACATCTGCACCCTTATTTCCTTTTTTTGTGAATTTTAAATATATTTTCTTTTTATTTCCTAGTATAAAATTTATAGAAAATAGTAGTCTTTGAGAAAAATTCTGAATAATTATCAGATATTATATTACATCCTTTTGATTGACTTAAAAAATTATCACTATTTTTAAAAGTTTTATTCAATTATAATTGATATATTTGTTTAGAAATACTTCTAAGTATCTGAAAATTTGTATTTTCTAACTTTATAAATTTTAAATTTTCATGATTTACTATACAATGACTAAGTCATGTCAAATTTTGGTGCTGTTGCCAAGGATGTATTGCATAATATTTAGTATTTTTTTATTTTTCTTTTAGAGTACACAAAAAATTAAACTCTTATTTTAGTTTCTTTTTGCTGATTATTTTTTTAAAAAGAAAAAAGAGAATGAATAAAAACAAGACAAGGACTAGAGCATGGTAGAAGATCCTTGCATCCAAGACTAGAAAATCCTTTCATTATTTCATTCAAAACTAAAAATTTGAAAGAAGAATTAATTTTGATACATCTTGAAGGAAGTATAGGTCAAAGTGAGAGCAATATTATGGCCATAAAAAATCATTATATCTCTTATTTATTTCAAAAAGCATCCAATATTAGAATCTCATTAGCACCTACTGTTAATTTCAAAATAAATCTAAGAATTTTTGAAATGCTCCTTAATTTTCATATATTGCCTTTAGAGGAACCTCATCAGCACATAGAAAAATTTTATATGGTCTGTGATTTAGTTAATCTCCCTCAAGTTACACTAGAAATTATTAAGATGAAATTATTTCCTCATACACTTAGGGACAAAGCTAGTCATTGGCTATCTAGATTAGATATAGAATTAACTAGCTAGAAAGACATAGAACAGGCCTTTCTTTGAAAATTTAATCCTTTAGGAAAAACTCAAAGTATGAGAAAACATATATGGAGTTTTTCTCAAAGACTAAGAGAAACTTTACATAAGACATGGGAAAAATTCAAAGATTTACTTAGAAAGTGTCCTCATCATGCTATATCCAAGTGGCAGCTCAATAGAAATTTTTATGATGGATTATTAGAACAACATAAAAATATGGTTGCTTCTATATGTGAAGGAACTTTTATGGAGAAAACCCCTGATGAGATTTACAGTCTTTATGAGAATTTAAATGAAAATTGTAGAAATCAAGTTTCTTTTGAATTATATGACAGAGATAAGAAGAAAGAAATTTATGAAATGCATCATGATGATGATTCTAATTAAAGAAATGAGGTTAATTAGATTAATCAAAGATTTAAAAAACTTGATTTACTTATGAACAATATTAGAAAGCCTCTTAACCCTCAATTTAATTCAAATAGTACATGTACTATGTATGGTGAAAATAATCATTTTGAATTTCAATATCATTCTAGGCAAGAACAAGTGAAGGTACCCCACGATTTTAATAAAAAAAAGGAATATTTTTTTAATTCTTATAATCTTAATTGGGGGAATAATTTTTCCTGGAGAAACCCATATAATATTCAAAATTCAGAAGCACTTAGAACCAATTCAAATTTTGAGTTTTGTCTAAAAATAGAAATACAGATTTTAGAAAAATCAATCCTCTCAAATCCAACCTGATGCTATGAAAATAATGCAACAAATGAGCTAAATGATGCAAGAAACTATGAATCAAATGATGTTGCACTAAAAATAAATTATAGAGGCTTTTGAGAATAGAAAAGAAGAGGGACAGCCACCTAGTTAGCTAATAGAAAATTCAAGAAACTATCTGACATGACTTAGTTGTTGTATATTAAATCACACAAATTTAAAATTTATAAAACTAGAAAATATGATTTTTCAGATATTCAGAAGTATTTTTGAACAAATATATTAATTTTAATTAAATAAAACTTCCAAAAATAGTAGTAATTTACCAGGTCAATCATAGGATGTAATATAATATCTAGTATTCAGAATTTTTATCAAAGAATACTATTTTCTATGAATTTTATACTAGGAAATGAAAAGGAAATATATTTAAAATTCACAAAAAAAAGGAAATAAGGGTGCAGATGTTAGGATGACATCAGCACTTGACAAACGTAAATTAGGCGAAAACAGAGTTCTACTCGACAATTCTTACATAAGGGATTACAGATGTTTTAATTGATTATGACTTTTATAAAAGTCAAAATAATCGTAATGAAATGAAGTATATCTTGATAAATTTGAAATCAATAAATTATCACTAAATGAAATGAAAATTAAGTTGAAAGTAGGAAAACAGAGTTTTGACGTCATGGTGGTAATGCATCGGCAATGCATTGGAATCCTGAGCATTCAAGAGGATCGTCGAGCAATGTCCACAGCCTCGAAGGCTCTCTTTAGACAAAGATGACGTGGGCGATCTGTAGATCTCCTTTCGAAGTCTAGAGATCAATAAAATGAGTCATTGAATCATCTCCGGCGGCTGTCACCCAGCGAAGCAGAAAAACGGTGACTTTGCAGCTCTCTAAGAGAGAGGAGCTAAATGAGTCGTCAAGGAGCTTCATCCTCAAGTCCGCGCAGCAAGAGGAGGCTCTTCATCACATCTGGTATGCTCTCAAGAGGTGGTGACTTATCTCCTAACAGATCGTCCCCTTCTTGACGATGGCTTGTTCATTGATCAATCGAAGATGCTTTACTCGATGGATTCACAATCCTTTTATCACAAATCATTCAGAAATTTTAGTAACAATACTCTGTGAATTGCATTGACGAGATTTTTGCTGATGATCTAGTGATTCTAGTTGCTTAATCCTTCACCAGCAATCTACAAAAAAGTTGCAATAATCAGATAAAAAAATATGAGTTTTGGCTCTAGGAGGATTCGAACTTGCATCGATTGCCCCGTCCTTTCTGGAGAAGGTGATGCGGGTTTCATCCCACATCAGTTGTGTATGAAAGTTTTTGGCAAATATATAGTAATATTACACTTTGTGATCAAGTCCCTTTCTCGCGTGTGTACGACCACTCCTTATCCCACAACCGGCTAGCCACCGGTGACGTGGAATGAGAGTGGTGCACATGTGCCCCCATCAGTTCAAGCCACTTGAGCCCCTACTTGCAGCTCCTACCTGACTGTGCTTCTGACCCCCTTGCAGGCCCAGCTGGCCAGTCGGTCTCCCCTCATTTTGCTTTATTTTTATTTTTATTTATTTTCCTTTATTTATCTTAAAAATAAGACTGTAAAAATCATATAAAATCACATAATTACCTAAAAATTCACGTTAATCAACTGAAAACCACTTTTCACTTTAACACAAATATAAGTCTATTTATCATGAGTTAAGACTAAAACTATATTATTTACTAATTATTAACTCATGATAATGAAGACTTATCATTGTCCAACAATAAGATTTTTAACAAGGAGAGTCTAGCTAGATAAATTTAAGAAAAAACCCACGAAATGAAAATGTTAGGATAGTGAATACATTGAGTGAGAATATTTTACCTGATCCTTATTTCCAATTATTAGAAGAAATCGATGAGCCATTAAAAGTAAATGAGAATATTAAGGCTAAAAATATAGTAACAAAAAATTTAAATAAAATCATTTATTGCTCACAATTGATGAATGAATATAGTGAGGATGATGAGGAGAAAGAGCCCTTAGATAAAGAAATAGCAACTAATCATAGACGAATCATCCAAATTTTAGTAGAAGGGAGTAAGGACAGAAATGAAGAAAAACATATTTCAAGTGAAGAAAAATCAGTTGATTTGGGAGATGTAGGAGATGAAATTAATAAATCTAATCATAATTTTATAGCCATAGATGTTGATAGTGAGGATGATGATGTATATCATATACCAAAATTAAAAGATAGCTCTTGAGAAGATGAAGAATTTGATGAGTTGAGAAACGAAAAGCTAGAAAAAGAGTTGATTCAACAAATAGGGAAAAACAAAAATAATAAATATAAATATAGAGATTATTTCGGAGGAGAAAATTTGAATTTTACTGAATTCATTAGATCTGAGATTAAAGAAGACAATCCTTCAATTCTTCAAAACCCACAGCCCATTAGAATTACTTCTAAGCTTGAAATATTTCACTCCTCGCAAATTGAACAAATATGTATGGAAGATAAAATGGAGCAGGGGAAAATTATGCATATAAAAGAAGACATTAAGAAATGGATGAATGGAAGGATTAGAGAAATCAATTTAGATGAAAAA